AAAAGCAACAGGTAACATAACGGCCAAATGATAGTCCAACTGCCACGCCCTTCCGCCAAGGTTAGGGGAGTGCTGAAGTTTCCCGCGCTCACGGAAGACAAGACATTCGGATCCTGAAACCAAGAACTCGGTGACGAAAGGTCATGGACATGATTGTCTGCCAGCGGCAGTGTAACGTCGCTGAAGGACGAGCTTCAGGCTCGCCATGCATGCGCCTGTAGGAAGAACTACTGAACGTAGGAAAGGGGATATATTAACAACATCAATTCACTTCTCGATTTGCCCCCTTGGTTCCTTTGTCGCTTACTTACCGTTTGCTGCCTGTTACCATCAGCCCGGCCGTCGACCTTCTTCACGCACACGCATCAATTCAAGAACTGTAAGAAATAAGGTGAATCATTGCAGCGAGTTGTCGCACTGAACGCACGGATCCGAACTGAAAAATAAAGAGATTGATCTGGCACGGGGTTCGTCCCCTCCCCCAACATGTGCCCTTTGTCCTCCGCTTTGGCCTAATCGCAGCTTCTAATTTCCCCATAAACCGCCGTCGCAGACATCTCTCAAGACACAGGACTCGCACGGGAGGCCGTATGATCTGTCCTCTAGATTATCCAGTAAGTGGCTGCTGCGGCAAGTGGGCCATGTGAGCCGCGCCATTCGATTTCAAGGCGTGAGAACCGTTCTATCATGGCCCCATGGACGCACAAACTCTGTTGCCGACCTCGGTGTATCCGTCTCCACCTGACAGCTATTAGGCTGGCCCGCCTGCGGGGTCTATTACACTCTGCAACCATTTCGGTTGGAGTTGCAAGCGAGGGGTGCCTACGTATTACGGTAGCCGAACGTTTTGTGAGTTCTTCGTGAGGTGTGCATAATAGTGTGCAAAGTGATCTCGGCGGACGGGAACGTACACTCACCGACGCAAACACAATGCCTGTGCAATCTGGCGGCTCCCGAAACCGCCGCTGATTTGTTAGTTTGTGTGCGGTGAAATGGATGTGTGCGTTCATACCCGAGTACACCAAGCTAGTGGCACTGCTGCTGCGACTGATGGACGTCGGTAAATGGTGCTAGATGGAAGTCGGCGTTGGCGAATATCCGCCTGGTCAACATCACATGGGCCGACGACCAAGCGTCGTGTTTCGAGGCCGTCAAGAATACTCTGCGTCGTATGGTCTCGTTGGTTCTCACGACTTCTGATAAAGTGGTCTGACTATACACGGGCGCCAGCACCGGGTTCTGGGGTGCTGTAGCCACTCAGATCCCCTCGCTGGCCACTCGCATTCCTAAGTGATGCGTTCCAGGGAACTAGCAAGCGCAGACCCATTGTGGAAAAGGAGGCATTTGCCATTGTTGACGCTAGCAAGCACCTCGATTACCTGCAGTTGCGTCCCGGTGGTTTCCGTGTGTTTACGTACCACCGGAACTTGGCGTACATTTTCCACCCAAAGGGGGTGGTGCAAACATCGCCAAGTACCAGGCCAACAAGCTAAAACGCTGGTCCATGGTAATGACGACGTTCCCCTACGTGATCTAGCCGATTGCAGAGGAGGAACACGATTGGGAGGGAACTCCTGAGTCCGTGGGGCACGGCGAATCGCGACGCCAGCCGTTCACGTAATAACTGACTGGTCCAACTGGTGTCGCCGATGCGCTCTAGAAATTTCGAAAGGCCGCCCTGGAGGAGATCGTCCGCGCTCAGCGCGATTGTCTCAACCGTGATGTGTCAACCGACATTGAAGACTAAGCCCTCGTCAAGTGGTAGTTGACAATAAATGTTTTGTAATGCCGTCGGATGCCACGTGGATCCAGAGCGGCTGTGTGTACATACAGCAACGGTTATGCGTGATCGCTCATGCGGGAATGGGCGGGCACCGTCGCGCTCAAGCTACCAAGCACCAACACGGATTTGTTTCTTGGAAGGGTGTGAATGCCGACATGGAGGCTTTCGTTAAGGCCCGCATGTACTGCATGGTCGTGGATGGAGTGGCGGAACCTTGGCCATAGGGACAGGCGCTGCACGCCGACCGACCCAATGAGCACATTCACCTCGATTGACTTCAGATGTCCGTCGAGGTGAACGGCTGGCGGTATCTGCTAATTGTCAAGAACGACATGAGCGGGTATTTCCGACTCTACGTTGGTACAGAAGCGACGGCGCAAGCAACTAAGCTACGCTGTTGGACGGGTTCGGGCTATTTGGCGTCGTATGGTCGTGGCTTAACGATTGTGCATCCAACTTTAAAAATCAAGTCATGGAAGAGCTGCGTCGGACGGTCAGTGCCCGCTACCACTTCGCCACCCCCATGTCCATGGGCAAATGAGACAATGGAGGTAGTGAATTGACTAGCTCTACGAATGGTACACGCGTTGGCCAGCGAGTTGAAGTTGCGAACGAGTGGCCCACCATGCCGATGGTTTAGTCTTCTTTGAACCACCAGTCGGTGGATTGGCTAGGGGGTGTGCCCCCTATCACGGCATTTTTGCTGTGCCAGCCAGTACACCGCTGCAAGCTCTCTTCCACCCTCGGCTAAAGAAACAGGCTACCCTGGACTGGTTGGCAATGAGCCAACAATATCACCTACAAGCGCTTGCCGCCGCCCTTGCCCAGATGCACAGCGCTTGCGTGTGAAGGCTGCGTCGAATCGGTAGAAGATACGTGAGCAAAGGGCGAACATGCAAGGCGTGAAGTGGCCAACATAAGCCTTGAGCAACTTCGTTCTGGCTGCTCGGGTGGTTCATCACCCGAACAATATGACTCTCCGCTGAATGGGTCATGCCGTGTGGTGCGGGTCCTCTCGGACCACCTGATGGATGCCCAGCAATTGCTCCCTCCGTATGCCATCAGCCTTCACCACGCCAGTCGCCTGAAGCTGTACTCCGAATCCGATCGTGACGTTGCGAAGGATCTCGTCGAGCAGGTTGCCGTTGGAGACAGTGAGTTTCAAGTGGAAGCACTCAAGGAGGTCCGTGACAACGCCAGCCGCTTCGAGGTTCGTGTGCAGTGGCTGGGGCCAGATGAAGCTGAGTCATCCTGGCAGCCTGCAACCGCAATGTATGACGACGCCCCCGTGCTATTCCGAATGTGGGCTAAAGCCAACGCGAAGTTGCAACTGATGCCGAGGTTAGTCGCTGAGATGGAACAAGCGATGGGGCATCCACTCTAGGAGGGCTGATTTCCCGGGATCGTTATCCACGTGCAAAACGGTGTTCTCGCAATGTTTGAATATCCGTGTTGGTGTGTAGTACTGTACGCGTAATGTGCTGGTACGGCATACATATAACGACGGAAAAATGTACAAAGTGGTACTTCACCATAATTTCATTATTTTAATATTGTCGCATCATTCAATCGGATAGTAGTATTTTTAGCCAATGAGTGACAAATACTTCTACGACCTAGTACATGATATCAAGCATGATGAATCTTGGGTACACTATCAAATCAATGCATTAACCTGCTCACAAATGGCTTCAAGAAAACCCGGTTTGTCTGCTGCCGAAAAACACATGGCTATGGTTAAGCGCACTATTGGAGCTTGGGAGGACATGCCATGCGAAATCATCACGCGCTCATTTGAAAATTCCTTGCCACGGGCTTCTGTAACGTAGCTCGTCACTTGAAAATAAGTTTCATCTTCGAAGTATTGTAGTTTCCAGAAATATTGTAGTTTTTGTTCCTGGTGGTGGTGGTCGTGGCTGAGTTTGATGTGATCTCTTTTCTACCAATCATCGTGGAAATGGTGCTTCCATTCGTCAACAGCTTGAAGAATACTAGTACTAAGTACTGACGATTCTCGTTCATCGTAGTTAAAGTGCCAATACATATTTCTAGAAATAACTCTAGTACCACTGGGGACATTTTTGCGTCGCTCGTTGTAGGCGAAGGATAGTGTATATTAACAGTGGTCGAACGTATCGACCGACCTTTTTTACAATTTGGGTGTTTATTGATCAATTTTTCTTTAAAAATTGTTGTATTGCTCCGCGTATTCTTCTGAATACAATGGACTTGATCACATGCCTACAAACAGAATACTCTTTATGAAATGGTCAATCAAAGTCAAGAATGATAGTTAATTTGCATC